AGACCCCAGGGGACCACGGAGAAAAGCCCTGTACCGTGGCTCCCTGAGGTTCTCCAGCAGCTGGCTAAGGCATTCTCCTTGCCCACTGTATGATGGCCCCATCTGCCTTCTTCTCCATAGGGCAGGGCAGTGCACATGTACCAAAGTCTTCTTTCCATTGGACACCTGTCTCAGGTCCTCAGCTAGTCAGCCATCATGTGCCCTCGGCTCTCAAGGGTTCAGGAAAAGAAGGGGTTTTGTAGATGATCTGGCTTTTACCAGTTGTTGGGCTGGAAGAGATGCTCTTTCCAGCATTCTCCCTCCAGGAATAGCAAGATAGCATGTGATGAGTGATGATGGCAAAGCAGCGTGTTTCACATAGTGTATAGTAAAGATGATCAGAGGGACTCAGGAACATACAGCCACATGACTCCACACTGAGTTGGGTTCTGTTTCTGTTGGTTTGGTGAGTACCCAGGTGACGGGGTGGGTAGTAAGAGGGGTCAGCTGGAGTTTCAACAGGAAACTACAAGGATTAGTCTGGATGCTGGTGTGGGAAGAGTGACATGAGTTCCAAATGTCTGGCAGCTGTAGGAGGGCTTGTTCTTGGAGCAACAAACCAAATTCTGTCCAAAAGGAGAGGTCTGACTGAGCTCCTGGCTGAGCCCTGGTGGATACTGGAGGGCCTTCATGTTGATGGGGCAGTTATGCTCCAGGCAAGTATGGCAGAGCAGGTTGGTTGGACCTGGAGTGACACCCCCAGCTCAGGCCACCACCATTGGAAACCCCTCATCCATGGAGGCGGTCCTTGAGGATTTGGTGCACTCTGCTCTGCCACCATGCTTGTAGAAGAAACACTAGTATTTTGTATGTCTCAATCTCCAAGGTAACCATTTCTTGGATGACTAAAAACATTACCAATCAAACCAAGCACATTCTATTTATGGCCACCTTTGCCCAAATCTTTTTCCAAACACTTCCATCATAAAACACTTCGTGGATGTTCCTGCCAGTCACCGAAGATCCTTGGCATTGTGCACATTTCTCTTAGGTTCTTACTTTCCAAATCTCTTTGTTGAGATTTCAAGAGGCCCATTATTCAATGTGTCTTCCCAAAGCATGTTTAGAGCCAATTAAAGAGTAAAGCTTCTGTGGGCAGGGGTTGTGGCTCAGCGGTAGGACGCTCACCTAGCACGTGCAAGGCCCTGGGTTCGATCCTCAGCACCACATAAAAATAAATAAAATAAAGGTATTGTATCCAACAACTAAAAAATAAATATATAAAAAAATAAAGAGTAAAGCTTTAGCCAAGCGCAGTGTCATATACCTATGATCCCAGTGACTCGGGAGGCTGAAGCAGGAGGTTGGCAAGTTCAAGGGCAGCCTGGGCAAATTAGCAAGACCCTATCTCATAAAGTAAAAAGGGCTGGGGATGTAGCTCAGTGGTGAAACACCCTGGGAACATGTCACTTATTGCTAGTCTGATACACTTCCCCATATGGGACTCCAGATGAAAGCTATTGGGGCCTGTGGCTTCAGGTCTCTGGACGTGGGGGACAGCTGTTCCCAAGGAGTGGCTGAGCTGAGAATGCCCATTCTCACCCAGAGTAACCTCTGGAGAGGATTGGAAAAGAAGTGTGTGCCCACATGCTCCGGTGCTATCCTTGCCTGTGATCTCAGCATCTGTGGGTCAGCTACAAATTTAGTACCAGATCCTGGTGTGTCTTCCAGCAGATTGAGAATTGCCTTCTCGGGTCTTCCTCCACTGTGGAGCTGCTTATACTACAATATCCCTTAGGGCAGTCCCCAACAGAGGATTGAGGGGACAGGGAGAAGCACTGAAGGTGGGCTAGAATCCCAAGCCCTCCAGGAGGTCTCAGTGTGCCCTGGAGCCTCAGATGCTGGAGGCCTGGTCATCATTCTGCATTGTAGTGGAGCCTGTGGCCCTTTGGCCCAAGGAAGCCTGAAGGACTCAGCATGCCACTGCCTTGGGGAGCCATCGTCTTGCTCCCCCACTCTCTTGTGGGGCTGGGCCACTCATCACTCCTCAATGCAGGGACCTCTACACAGTCTGGGCTTCTAGCAAGTAGCCACCACCACATGAAGTCATAATGTGAGTGGCCCAAGTTACTGGAACATGGTTGTCTCAGCACCCCCTACCCCCTCACACACAGTGGCCCACAGCACCTGTGGATACCCAGAGCATCTCCACTCCAACCTCTCCTGCCTCCACTCTGCCATCCCTGCAGGCCTTGTCCACAGCTAAATTGGGCTGCAGATTCCCACCACCTCCCTTTGTCTCTAGTCTCACCTGCCTGAGTATTCTCCACACTGTTACCTTCTACAACGAGTTCCCAGCACCAACCCCCCCCACACAAATCCACTGGCCCCAGGATTGCATTCCCCAGCCTGCTCACAGGCATGCAAGCCTCCCCACCCTCCCCAGGCCAGGCTTCACTGCTCACTGGCTGCTCTCTGTGCGCACAGGGCTCCTACAGGCTGGGAGAGTCCTGCAATCAGCTCCATGTGGCCTCCTGAGGCTCTGTTCACCTGAGGAGGGCTCCAGGGAGGGCAGGGCCTGGGGAAGCACTAGGCCACGCCCCACTATAGTGTTCTTGGGCACTCTGCAGGGGTACCTCCTTACTGGCACTCCACTGTCAGTCATTACAAGGTCTTGTGGAAATTTAATCTTCAGATTTCTCCAGCAGGGAGTGACCTTCACCAGAAAGCCAGCTTCAGGGTTGTACTGTGCAGTTTTGAGAAGTGTTGACATTGTCATTTTGGATTTGTTGTTTCAGAATGCAAAACCAAGGAAGAGAACCAAAATACAGATTGGCCCTTAAAGCCGATAATTTCAGATGAGGTAACAGTGCATCTGGGGAAAGCATCTTCAGGGAGCATCGTTCAAGAACATTATAACCCAGAGCAGAGCTTCTGCCTGCATGCAAGCCCTGTCGTCCCTGGCGAGGCTCGGGTCTCGAATAGGAGCAGGCCACTGACTCCACACCCAGAAGCTCCCAGTGGAGAGAGGCCCTACATGTGCATCGAGTGTGGGAAGTGCTTTGGGCGGAGCTCCCATCTTCTTCAACACCAGCGAATCCACACGGGTGAGAAGCCATATGTGTGCAGTGTGTGCGGGAAGGCCTTCAGCCAAAGCTCAGTCCTCAGTAAACACAGGAGAATCCACACTGGCGAAAAACCCTATGAGTGTAACGAGTGTGGAAAAGCCTTCAGAGTGAGCTCGGACCTTGCTCAGCACCACAAGATTCACACAGGAGAGAAACCTCACGAGTGTGCCGAGTGTCGGAAGGCCTTCACCCAGCTCTCGCACCTCATCCAGCACCAGCGGATCCACACAGGGGAGAGGCCCTATGTGTGCCCACTATGTGGGAAGGCCTTCAACCACAGCACTGTGCTGCGGAGCCACCAGAGGGTACACACTGGGGAGAAGCCTCACCAGTGCAGCGAGTGCGGGAAGACCTTTAGCGTAAAGAGGACGCTGCTGCAGCACCAGCGGGTGCACACAGGGGAGAAGCCCTACACGTGCAGTGAGTGTGGGAAGGCCTTCAGCGACCGCTCAGTCCTCATCCAGCACCACAATGTGCACACAGGAGAGAAGCCCTACGAGTGTGGCGAGTGTGGCAAGGCCTTCAGCCACCGCTCCACCCTCATGAACCATGAGCGGATCCACTCAGAGGAAAAGCCCTATGCTTGCTACGAGTGTGGCAAGGCCTTCGTGCAGCACTCCCACCTGATCCAGCACCAGAGGGTCCACACCGGGGAGAAGCCCTATGTGTGTGGAGAGTGTGGGCATGCCTTTAGCGCACGTCGCTCTCTGATCCAGCATGAGAGGATCCACACGGGAGAGAAGCCCTTCCAGTGCACAGAGTGCAGCAAGGCCTTCAGTCTTAAGGCCACCCTGATCGTGCACCTGCGGACCCACACTGGCGAGAAGCCCTATGAGTGCAGCAGCTGCGGCAAGGCCTTCAGCCAGTACTCGGTGCTTATCCAGCACCAGCGGATCCATACAGGGGAGAAGCCCTATGAGTGTGGGGAGTGCGGACGTGCCTTCAACCAACACGGCCACCTGATCCAGCACCAGAAGGTGCACGGGAAGCTGTGAGCCTGGGGCCTGGTGGCTGCAGGAGGCAGCCTCACTACCCTCCCTCGGGTTTCAGTGCCACAAAATAATTGCAGGGAGAAGCACTGGGCATGTTCTTCCTGTGGAAAAGCTGCAGAGCATATGTTTTGTTTTCCTCAACATCCTGAAGCTGTATTGAAGAGTGACCTGCCATCATAATGAAGTTTGGGTAACGATAGCCATAATTCCTTGTTTCTTCAACATTAGATAATTCATTTGAAAGGAGTAACTAAAGGAAGTTAAAGTAAAAGGACTTGTCCCAAAATACTCCCTTATGTTCCCAGTGAGGTTCTTTCTCTTCTGAGAATGCATGCCTTTCCTAAACAGTTAGCCAGTTAGCTGTGAAACTTAGAACACTGGACTGTTTTCGTATTCTCTTGAAACACAGAAGTGCTGTGTGGATAAATTGATATACGACATCAAGGATCACATGACATCGCTGAAAATTGTAACTGTGCAAATACCTGTTTGTATGAAAAGAAAAAGAAGTCTAAAGATGTGTTCATTAGAAATTATGTAAATTAAAAAAAAAAAAAAACTCTTTTATCTGGTGCTTTAACTTATCCAAGACCAGAAGGAATGTCCTGCCACTTGAGTAAAAATGCAACTAAAACATGGTTGTTTTCCTTAAGACCTATAGACTCTGCATGCCAGAGATTCTGGATCTCTGGGGCCAGTTAGGTCCCAAGCAAGAAAATATTGCTAAAAAGATGATTCCTTGTTGCGCGTTGTTTTGTTTTGTTGGTACCAGGATTGAACCCAGGGGCACTGGACCCCTGAGCTGCATCCCCATCCCATTTTATTTTTTATTGTGAGATAGTCTTGCTGAGCTGCTTGGGGCCTCAGCCTCCTGTGGTACACCACCACACCCAGCAGTGCATTTTTTTTTTTTTTTAATTCTCACTCTTTTTTACTAGCTCTAATAGTCCATTCTTGTACTCCAGTTGTTTGGGGTTTGTTGTTGTTGTTGTTTAACTCCTGGCTTAAGACAGTCTACTATTCAATGCCTGTGATAAATTTGGTTTATTCATAATTAAAAATTTGAATTTGTTCAGAATTATTTGCTCAGTTTTTAAGGGTATGGTTCTTACATCTGAGTTTATATCAGAGCCATTTCTAGTAGTATCTACCTGCAAATAAAACAAAGGTCAAACGTAAATGTGTCAGTGCCTGGTGGAGGTGTTTCCTTCTTCCTCTGGGGAGAAGAGAGAAGCACTGGGGTGTTGGTCCTCAGCGTTACACGTGACAAGAGCTCGGTAAGAATGGCCCGTCCCTGAGGCCTTGGCTTGAGCAGGGAGCTGCGGTACAGCTGAGCCGCTGCTTGAGGAGGAGCTGATCACAGAAGGGTGGCAGAGAAGAGCAACACTAAGTGTCTCAGTGAGGAGAGCCAAGGTCTGCGCCTTACTGCAGAAAGGAAAGGAGGCCACTGTGGTGTCACTTCAGTGAGGCTGAAAATCCAGAGTTGGGAGCACTGAGATGAATTCTCCAGAGGGCTCAGGTCACTGAAGGGAGCCAACAGAGTGGAGGCCACTGGGCACTGCTTCCTAGAGGAGGTGAGATCACTGATGTTTTTCGGAAGAGATGACAGAGAAGCTGGAATCGATGAGTTGTTACTTCAGAGAAGAACTGAACTCACTGAAGTGTGACCTGGGGCCAAGATGAAGTCTTCAGAGGCTGAGGTGAACGCGGTCAAACTTCACAAAGCTGCCCTCACAAAGGGACACTTCAGAGTCTCCTCTGAAAAGGAGCTGAGGCTACTAAGGGTGTAAGACCTTAGTGGAGGGAGGAGGGAGGCTGCCAGCCCTCACAAGGGGACTCTGCAGCTGGGGTCTCTGTGGCTGCAGGTTGGAGCCCACCACTACTCAAGCCACAATTGCTGATCATGCAGAAAAGCAGAGCACAGTCATGTGCCAATCAGGATGAGAATAGGAGCTCGATTGAATTCAGTACAAAGATTTGTGTAGAAAGACTATATGAAAAAAAGAAGAAAAGAAAGAGAAACAAAGGCTGTATCCCAGGACAACTGAAGTCACAGGGTACAGAGTGCTGGATAGCTCAGTTCTCCAGTAGCCTAGGTTTCCAGGGAGACCTTTCTAAAACCTAGTTTGCTTTCCTGCATTCTCAGATGAAGCATGCTCAGCATCCATCTCCTATTCTTGTTGGCAGGCCACCTTTGATGCACCCAGGTGCAGGTTCAGGTGTCCGTGGAGCTGGGAAGTGGACATCAGTGCCCCTCGTGGAGGGGATTCCAGCTCTGTGTTCTTGCCATTCACCTCATGGCCACCTGGAACACATGGGCAGCTGCCTTTGGGGAACATGAGGTCAGAGGCCACAATGAGCTTGGGCTCCCTTCAAGTAGTGGTGACCTACCTCTTGGGCTTTACCTGCCCAACTACTTGTCATTTTTCAGTACCATTCCACTTTTATTTTGAATTTGTATGTGTGTATGCTCAGAAATCTTTACAGTTTATGCATTTAAATCTTTATATTAATGCATTTAAATCTTTATTAATTCTCCTTATTGGCTACCAAGAATTTGCTATTTAATACTTTTCAAATTTTCTATCATTAAAAAATATCATGGGGGCTGGGGTTATGGCTTGGCGGTAGAGCGCTCACCTTGCATGTGCAAGGCCCTGGGTTTGATCCTCAGCACCACATAAACATAAATAAATAAAAGTTATTAAAAAAAATCACGGTCCTCCTGAAATTTAATTCTGTGTACTGTATACAATCTGACATATTCCAGTTTAAAAAAAAAACAATGATTATAACAAGTATTTGGGTGAAGAAAGCTCAATAATGTTGACACAAAGATCGGCGCTTCAGTGACCACAGGACACAAGCAGGCAGCTCCAAACCAGGAAAAACTGGGAAGTCTGGAAGAGGTCCACTATGCCAAGGAAGTGGAACATGTCGTGGCCTCCCACTCAGGGAGGCTCATCCAGTCCCCCGAGATGCAGAGGTGGAAAAGGTGCCTCCATGCTTTTGCTGATGACATTACCATTAAAATGAAACTCTAGGACTGGAGCTATAGTTCTGTGGCATAGCACTTGCCTAGCATGTGTGAGGCACTGGTTCGATCCTCAGAACCACATAACAAATAAATTAATAAAGATATTGTGAGTCCATCTACAACTAAAAAAAATTTGAAAAAATGAAACACCTCCCAAGAAACATGCAGACTTCATTAAATAAGTCTTGGGCTGGGGCTGCAGCTCAGTGGCAGAGTGCTTACCTAGCATGTGGGAGGCACTGGGTTGGATCCTTAGCACCACATAAAAATAAAGGCATGCTGTCCATATACGACCACATTTTTTTCTTTTTTTTAACAGAAGTCTGGCAGTTACACATACTGTTTTTTTCTGGAGTATCTCTGGGCCACAGCCATACCCAGCTTCTGTCAGTTGTGAGGAAACAATGGTGTAACTCATCCTTTCTTTGAAGAACGATGACAACACACCAGGACTCGGCTTGGCAGGTGCTGGTCAACCCTAAGGAAGAGGGGCACTCGGTAGAAAGGCTGCACAGAAGGACCAATGGTGGAAGCCAGGAGGGTCTTGCCTGGGGCAGAAGTGAGAGCAGCACACACATAGGAGGGCTCCTTCCTACCTGGGCAAATGTGGGGGGCATTTTAGATTTCAGGCTTACAAGTTCCCAAGCTGGGAAACTCAGGTGAGGTGATGTGAAGTTCATGGGTCTCAAGGCTGCCCTCCCTGAGAGGAGTAGTTGCAGGTTTGATTATCCCCCAAATCACCCTCAGGTTCAATAAATTTGCAATGAAGACTCAGAACTCACCTTGAAAGCTGATATTCTCCTGGTTTTGAGTTTTGGTAGTGGCAGCAGAAGTGAAATGCAGTGCCCGTCACAGAAGCATGCCTGCACCCTCATCAGAGGTGACAATGTCCAGTGCAGGGGGCTGTGTGGCAGCTGGACTGTGCACACTCTTCTGCCTTTGTGTCCTGGTAGGCAGGTAAAGAACTGCTGGTGACGTGATGTGTTGGTGCAACTGCTCTGGAAAGCATAGGATGAACATCAGTGTCCTTTAAGAAGTTTATCCCATCCTTAGGAATATATCCTAAGGACATAACTTAAAAAAATAATTAAAACCCTAGAATTACTCACTGTGAAATAGTATACAGATAGTCCCCAACTTAATATTCAACACAGGGTGGATGGGGTGGGGGGGTGGCGGCGGTGCTGTAGCTGAAGGATCACAAGTTCAAGGCCAGCCTCAGCAACTTAGTGAAACCCTGTCTCAAAAAATAAAAAGGGCTGGGGATGTGGCTTAGCGGTTGAGTGCCCCTGGGTTCAATCCCCAATAAAATTTTTTTTTTATTTAGGACTTTTCAACTTTATAATGGCATGGAAGTGACATGCATTCAGCAGAGATTCTATGTTGAGTTTCCCAGGCCTGTGGTACATTCTGTGAGCCTCTACGGTGGTGCCGGGCTACAGCAAGCAGTGGCTTCCTTGCAGCCATGCTATCCCAGTGTACAGAGGTATAGAGCTACAATGTTACGTTGGGTATCAGACACATTTTCAGCTTATGATATGTTCAGCTCACAAGAGGGTTATGAAGACCTCATCATAAAGAGCTTCATGGTGTGGCCAAGTGATAACATTTTATAAATTAAAACATGTCCCTGTCTGGATAGAAAGATTGTTGCTATCATAAAGTAAACTATCAGAGTGATGTCATGGAAGACAGCTAAGTAGGAAACTCGGGAATCTATCCTTCCACCTCTACAACTACCAAGCTGACAGGGACTGTTAGAAGTAACCTGAAAGCTAGTCAGTCAAGCTAGTCGGTCTGGTTAGATGCTGGTAGCATCCAGGAAGAGCTTGAAGAGGCAGGTGGTAAGTTTCAACAGATTTCAACATTCCTGTAGTCCTTGCCAGGGCACCATTCCCTAGCCCCATGGCATGAACTGTGAATGGTGTGCACTAAGGATGTTCCAAAGACCGGGGCTGTGTGTTTTGATGGTTGATTGCTGCTCTTGATTACTAAAGAACTGGCACAGAGGCTAGCTACTATAATTTTGATCATCATGGGTCAGCAAAGCAGTTTCCAGAGGAATTAAAGAGACAATACTTGGGTCTGGGGTTATGGCTTCATGGTAAAGCACTTGCCTAGCACATGTGAGGCCCTGGGTTCAGTCCCCCAACACCCCCTAAAAACAATAACTAAATAAACTGCAACTAAATTTTTTTTTTTAAAAAGAGACAATACTTGTGTTGTTTCCCTTTGGGGGATTTAGACATATAAGGAAAGATTTTTCATGTTACTGACTGACCACACAAATAATGGAACTGAAACATCGGTGCCCACACACATCAAAAAAGTACACAATGCAAAAATAGTTTGGGAAAGTCACAAATAGATGGCTCAAGCCCTCAACAAGCAAGATTTGGCAATCACTGAGGAGAGTCTTAGAATTCCAGAGTAACCACAACAATACCTGCTGCTCAACTCAAAATAGCCACTGCTCAACAAAAAATGACAGAACATACAAAGAAACAGGAAAGTATGATCCATTCACAGGAAAAAATAAAATTTGACAGAAAGAGGAAGCCCAGACACTGGAATTATTAGTCAAATATGTTAAATAAATGATGGAGACATAGTTCAGTGGTAGAGCTTGTGCCTACCATATGCAAGACTCTGGGTTTGATCCTCTGTACCCACCTCAAAAAAGTTAAAACAACTGTCTTATGTATGTTTGGTGAATTAAAGGAAATCATGGACAAAGAACTAAAGGAAATCAAGAAAATTATGTATGAACAAAATGAAAATACCAATAAAGATTTTTTTAAAAATTTTAAAAAAGAAAATACCAAAAAAGAAAATTATTAAAAAAAAATTCTGGAACTGGAAAGTCAATAACTGAAGTGAAAAACTCACATGAGGGGTTCAACAGCAGATACAAGGAGGCAGAAGAAAGATCAGCAAACTAGAAGATCGGACCATTGACATCAGTCTGGGAAAAAAATAAAAACAGACCCCAAGAGACCTGTGGGATAGCGTCATATGTGCCAACATACACGTTATAATATTCTCAAAAGGAAAAGAGAGAAGGAGGAGAAAAAGATATTTGAAGAAATAATAGTCTCAAACTTCTAAAATCTGTGGGAAGATAGATTTGAATATACAAATCCAAAAAACTCAAGAAATTCCAAATGGAAAAAATTCAAATCCACAGAGACATATTATAGTCAAATTGTTGAAACTCAAATTCTGAAGATACCAGTAAGGAACCGAACACATGAGGCTCAGCAGATTTCTGGGAAACTATGGAGACCAGAGGCAGTGGATGACATATTTGCAGGCCTGAAATGAAAAAAAAAAAAAAAAAGTAAACCAAGAATTTTATATCCAGCAAAAACTACCCTTCAGGAATGAAGGGGAAATCAAGACATGTCTAGATAAAGAACATTTGAGGGAACCCATTACCAGTAGCTCTGCTTCACATGAAATCTGAAGGGAGACTTTCCGTTTACAGCTAGCAGCCAGCAGCTCTGAGCAGCTCTGAGTGCTTGAAGAACCTGCACTTGTTCAGGCCTGACAGGAGCAGGATGGGATGCTCTGCTCTAGCGAGCCGCCAGTGAAACCACATCCTTAGCACTTGTGGTTAGCGTTGCCAAGCTGCCAGGCCAGGAAACTGACAGCCAGGAGCTTCAGGAATGGAACTTCTAACTTAGAAACCCCCTCCCCTAGGGACAAAGACCCTTCCTGATGATAGCAATATTTAGAACATCCTCATAATGTGGTTACATTAGGCATAGGATGATTGGCTTATGGATACTATCTTGCTTGTGAATGATTGATGGGCACGCCCCACTGGGACCCTATAACAATTATATGCATTCCAAAAATAAACTGAGCTACTGGACAACGACCTGAGGTGGGTCTCCAGCCAGTTCTCTCACCAGCAACCCCCCACCCCCCACCCCCTGCGACAAGGTAGCCGGGCAACTAGTTGATCAGAACCACAGCATGAAAGGACATTACAGACAACCCAAAGCTGTGAGAAATTAAAAAAAAAAATGGTAAAGGTAACTACATAGGTAAATGTAAAAGCCAACATCCCTGCACTTTTGGTATGGTTTGTACTTCCTTTTTTTAATCTGATTCACTAAACAAAGACATTTAGAAAAATCTATAAATCTGTGTTAATGAGCATCTGACATATAAAGATGTGAACTTTGACAATACAAAGAGGTAAGGATGGGTGTTTATAAAAGTATGAACACTTTTAAATTCATACTTTTAAAATTAAGCTGATGTCAACAAAACTAGGTTATTCTAAGCTTAAGAAGTTGGTTATAAACCCCAAAGTAACCACTAAGAAAAAAATAGAAAAATGTGAACAGACATAACTGAACCAGGTGTGGTAGTGCATGCCTGTAATCTGAGTGGCTTAGGAGGATGAGACAAGAGAATCATGAGTTCAAAGCCAGCCTCAGCAAAAGCAAGGTGTTAGGCACTCAGTGAGATCCTGTCTCTAAATAAAATACAAAATATGGCTGGGAATGTGGTTCAGTGGTCAGGTGCTCCTGAGTTCAATCCATGGTACCCCCACCCCACCCCCCAAAATAAGCCATAACTGGTAAAAAGATTGTAACAGTAATCAAAAACCTCCCAACCCTGGTGTGGTGGTACCTGCTTTGATTCCATCAATTCAGGAGGCTGAGGCAGGAGGGTTCAAGTTCAGGGCCAGTCTGGTAAACTTAGCCAGACCCTGTCTCAAAACAAAAAGGGTTGGGGTGGGCTGAGATTGTGGCTCAGTGGCAGATTGCTTGCCTCACATATAAGAGGCACTGGGTTTGATTCTTAGTACCACATAAAAATAGGTAAATAAAGGTATTGTGTCTATCTACAACTAAAAAATATTTTTAGAAGTATGGGACTATTATTTCTTCAAAAATTTTTTTTAAAATATTTTTTAAAAAAGAGGGAACACCTAGTAAGATTCAAAAGTATATTTAAAGGATTATAAACCATGACCAAGTGTGATCTGTTCCTGGAATGAAATATGGCAACAACATATGAAGATTATTTTGTATGATCATCACACTGTATTAATAAAGAAAACCCACTTACAATATCACTGATACAGAAAAGCATTTCACAGAATTTAACACTGTTTCATGATAAAAACACTCAATAATCTAGGATTAGAAGGTGACTTTGTCTATGTTGAGGAAGGGTGTACATGAAGAACCTAACACTATACATAACAGGGAAAGCTAGCAGCCTTGAGATCAGCAACAAGGTTAGGATGCCCACTTTGGCCACTTCGATTAAACATAATATTGGAAGTTCTAACTAGAGAAGTCAGGCAAGAAAAGGAAGCATTAGGCATCCAAACTGGAGTGGAATAGAAGTAAAATTATACCTCAGCCCAGAGCTGGCAAGAACTCTGAGGACTGCACAAAAATAGTACATAAGAGCTAACAAATGAATTCAGCCAAGTTGTGGGACACAAAGTCAAAACACAGGGCTGGGGCTGGGGCTCAGTGGCAGAGCGCTTGACTAGCATGCATGAGGCACTGGGTTTGATCCTCAGCACCACATAAAAATTTAAAAATAAAGGCATTCTGTCCATCTACAATTGCAAAAAAAATTTTTTTAGTCAAGACACAATTGTTTCCATTTAGTATTGATAAACAACTAAAAAGGAAAGGAAAAAAACAATTTCATTCATAGTAGCATTGAAAGGAATAAATCAAGAGGCAAAAGATTCATACATTGAGAGGCTGGGGTTGTGGCGCAGTGGTAGGACGCTTGCCTAGCATGCACAAGGCACTGGATTCGATCCTCAGCACCACATAAATATAAAATAAAGATATTGTGTCCACCTAAAAAACTAAAAAATAAATATTTTTTAAAAAGATTCATACATTGAAAGCTACAAAACATCACAGTAAGTTGAAAAAAACATAAATAAATGGAAACATATCGTGTGCTCATAGATTGGAAGACTTAATATTGTTAAGGTGATAAACCTACCCTGAAATTTTTTGCAGATTCAAAAAAACCCATTCTATATTTCATGTGGAACATCAAGGGACCCCAAATAGCCAAAACAATCTTGAAAAAGAAGAACAAATTGGAGGATTCATACGTCCTAATTTTAAAACTTTCTACAAAGTTATAATAATGAAAACAGTGTGGGTGTACTCTTAGTTCATTTTGTGTTTGTTACTATAATAAAATACATGAAGTTGGATAGTTTATAAAGAAAAGAGATTTACTTACTCTGTGTATTTATTGACTCTGTGAATTTTCCAGATCTTCCCACGCTGCTCCCCTTTGCCCCTGAATCTGAGCATAAGCAGTTGAAAGTAACCAGGCAGCAGCCTAAATTTTTGGTTTAGAAGTGTCTTCAGTTTTCACCATCCTTAGATTTGGTCCACCACAAAGCCCTCAGGCATGGACACAGTGCAGTGAGATCTTCACAGTGGCCTGACAAGGGTGGCCTTTACTCTGGTTCCCAGCAGGATGTTCTTATTTCTATCTGCATTCTGGTCATAAACTCTTCACCAATCTCCAAGAATTTCTAGCTTCCTATCTACTAAGTCTTCACCAAAATCACCCATAATTCTCCATTTATAGCATTCTAGGCTTTTACTAGGCTGTTCCTCCAAACTCTTCCACCCTGTGCCCATTACCCAGTTCCAAAGTCCCTTCCATATTTTCAGGTGCCTTTATAGGAAATACCCCATTCTCAGTACCAATCTCCTTTTTTAATTCACTTCCTATTGCGATAACACCTTTTTAAAATAATGTTATTGTATTTTCATACCTTTCTTTTTTATTCTTTTTTTAGTTTTTGATGTATCTTTATTTTATTTATTTTTATGTGGTGCCGAGGATCAAACCCAGTGCCTCACACATGCTAGTCAAGCACTCCAATACTGAGCTACAGACTCAGCCCCCCATAATGCCTTCTGATCACCCATAACTTTCATTCTCAAGAGAACTCTAGGCTCTGAAACATGCAATGATTCCTCCTGAGGATGGCTCCTCACTCCTGACCTAATCATCTTTCCCCAGGCTCCACTTGCTCTGAGAGATGCAGCCCCTTGACATCACTACATACCAGGCCTCCCACATATGAACCTCAGGCAGATGAGCCACATTCAGTCATGGCACAGTGGCATAAGGACAGGCGTGGAGAGTGGAAGAAAAGAGGCCAGAACTGAATTTTCACAGATACGATCAATTGGTTTTAAGCAAGGACTAAATAGGTCCCCAAAATTCACATCCTGAAATCCTAACCACACTGGAACTGTACTTGGAAATATGGCCCCTGAGAAGGTGGTAACGATTAATTAGATGAGCTTATAGGGGTGGACCTGATCCAATAGGGCTGTTGCTTTTTTTTTTCCCCCCTCAGGTACAGGGATTGAACCCAGGGTGCTCTACACTAAGCTACACCCATTCCAGCATGCACTCCCCCCTAAAATTCTAGGCCCCACTGAGTGACCCAGGATGGCCTCAACCTTGGAATCCCTGCCCCAGCCTCCTGAATGGCTGGGATTACAGGTGTGTACCACCATGCCCAGCTAGGGCTGATGCTTTTATGAGAGGAAGGGACACTAGAGATCTCTTTTTCTCTGCCCTGTGAGGACACAGCAAGAAAGTAGCCATCTGCAAATCAGGAAGAGAGCCCTCACCAGGAACTAACTGGCACCTTCAACTGGACTTCAGCCTCCATGACTATGAGAAATAAACGTCTGTTGTTCAAGCCATCCAGTCTGTGGTACTCTGTTGTGGCAGCCGAGCTGACTAATACACCATGCAGCATGGAAAGGAAAATCTATTGAGCAGTATTGCTGGGAAAACTGGGTATTCACACACAGAAGCATGGCATTGGACTCACCTTGTGCCATATAAAAAAATTAGCTCAAAATAGATCAAAGTCCCAAAACGTAAGATCTAAAACTATAAATTCCTTAGAAGAAAACACGGTAGGCAGACTTAATGACTCGTGCTTAGCAATGATTCCTTACATGTGATACCTAAATGCACAGGGAATAAAAGAAAAATTAGATAAACTGGACTTCATCAGAATCAAAAATTTTTTGCATTATAGGACACTATCATGAGAATGAAAAGATTAGTCGACAAAATAGAAAAATATTTTCAAATCATATATCTGATAAGGGGCTAATATCCAAAATATATGAAGAACTACTACAACTCAACAGCAAAAAAAGACTCAATTAAAAAAAATGGGCAAAGGGAGGCTAGGGTTATAGCTCAGTGGTAGAATGCTCACATAGCATGTGTGAAGCACTGGGTTCGATCCCCAGCACCAAACAAAAATAAATAATTAAATAAAATAAAGGAATTGTGTCCATCTACAACTTAAAAGAAAATCTTTAAAACAATGGTCAAAAGACTTGAGTAGACATTTCTCCAAAGAAAATACACAAATGGTCAGTAAACACCTGGAGATATGCTGAACATGACTGGCCATTAAGGAAATGCAAATCAAAACCACAGTATCTAATGTTTTGAACAACCAATAAAAAAAAAAAAAAAACACAATATCACTTCACTCCTATTAGGATGCCTCCTATGAAAAAGCAGAAAATAGTACCCATGCTGGTGGGAATGTGAAGAAAGGCAGAACCTGTGCAACTCCTGTGCCACCCAGATTCTGACCTAGAGGCACTGAAAGCAGGGGCTCAACACACATCATACAACGACATCGACATCAGCGTCCACACCCAGGTTCCAGCTGCAGGCGAGGGAGAGGTGCAGGGGAGACACGGCAGAGCCACCCAGTGGAATCTTACTCATCTGCAAAAGGAAGGGACCCGTGTCAGGCTGAAGGTGGGGAGCCTGGACCACACTGTGCTCCAGGAACACATCTCACAGGACTCCCCTTGCATGAGGTTCTAAGAGGCAAATTCAGAGACAGAAAGTGAGCTGAGGGTACAGAGGCTACCTGGTGAAAGGAAAGCAGGGAACTGGGAGCCAGGCCAGCGAGCTGAAAGACAGAGACCAGGCAGAGATACACACGAGAGTTTATTTGTCAGAGCTGACACCTGGCCTGCACCCATGCACCTTCCCTGTCTCTATCTGGAAGCCCGTCCCTACTCTGCTCCACAACACTGTCACCACCTAGAAGATTCTGCTTGAATTTCCCACCAAGGCACCCAAGCTGACAGAGGTGACCAGGGCCCCAGCAGAGGCCGTGCAAGCTACTGAACTAGCCCTGATCCATCTCCCCATTAACCAGACACCCTGAACCCCAACAAATGCTGGTTCAGTGGCCAAGCTGGGAACAGCTTCCCTCACACACCTGAGTGGCTGGCTCTCATGTGCACTCTCCCCTTGGCATTCTGCATGTGCACCCAGGGCTCGTCCCCTCGCTCCAGCTGTACGGTCACTCCGGGCTTGGGACCTGTAGGTCCTGCTCCTGGGAAGGAAAAGGGCCTGGGTTGGTAACCAGACGCAGGGCTATGCTGCAGGCCATCTGCCCTGGGGCTGCTAGGGGAAGGGACGCAGAGGCATAGGGTGGCAGTAGCCTCCTTATCCTCTGGCGGGTTGAGAATGGGCTGGAGGTGGTCATGAAGACGGAGGCCTGTGACTGAGCTCAGGGGCTTTCTCCACCAGGAGAACAGAACTCCCCTGAGGAGGGCCCTGCCTCAGGCCTGCAGCAGGGCTCTGTGGAGGTGTGGCCGACTCAGGAGGAACCCTGCATGGCCTCTCCAGCCTCTTTTCTGAGCAGGCCTTCCTGGACCAGTGCAGCAGTACCATCTTTGGTTCCATGGGCGAGGCTTCCAGCCCACCCTTCTGAGCCCTCAGACCCCAAGGCTATTCCTGGAGCTGAGGCCTGCTCAAGGGCCTCACCCAGTGAGACTAGGTTCTTGTAGGTCTCCAGCATCACTTCCCTATAGACACCCCTCTGGGCAGGACCCAGGCGACCCCACTCGTCCTGGGAGAGGAGCACAGCCACATCCCTGAAGGTCAACTTGGTCTGAAACAACAGGATGCAGCTGCAGCCCCCAGGGTGGCCCAGGGTGGGCACCAGGGGCAGGGGCAATGCAAGCACGCCAAGGGCAGCATCAGGTCACCCCAAGTCACACTTCTCTGCTGTCAGTACCCAGACCAGAGACACCTGACAGCATTTGACAAGAAAATTCGCCATGGAGAAAGCCCTTGCACAACGGAGGACGCTTACCTGGAGTGAAACAGATGGGAACAAGGTCTCCATCGCCTGTGCCCTGGGCTTCCTGAAGGCAGTGGTCAGGAGCCGTCACTCAGGTGCTAAGGGGAGACAGAGGGATACAGGGAGGCCCAGCCCAGCCCCCTTCTTCATTGGTGGCTGCTCAGGGCTGCCATAAGCAGGTCTGTTGCAGTACCTTCCCAGGCCTTCAGGCACAGACCTTCCCTGCCCGCCCCAGCCCCAACTCCGCTGCCCACAGAGATGCCCCCCACCAACCCTCTGCCCCTTCAGAGGAAGACGGTACTCACTTACTGTGTGTGGAGTGATAAAGACAAAACAAGGAGATGTGAAACAAAGGCGCAGGGAAAAGGAATGCACAGCATATGAAACCACAGAACTAGTGGAAGCAAATTCAAATAAATGAGTAACAAGTAATGGTAAGAAATAAGACTAGACTTAACAAGAAGCAAGAGACTCTCCAATTAGATGCACGCAATGTACTGGGTGCCCTAAAATAAACAACACAGACAGGCTGAAAGTGAGAGCGACCAGACACAAATTAAATAGACCTGTTGTACCTACAGACCTTTTCTTCGTCTTTTGAAGTTGTTCTTTTTGTTTTTGTTTTTTTGGGGGGTATGGGATTGAACCCAGGGCCTTGGGCATTTGAGGCAAGCACTCTACCAGCTGAGCCAAATTCCCAGCCCTCAACCCTCAAGTTTTTTATTGAAGAATGAAACTTACATAGAAAAGCCAACAAATCCTGAATGTACAGCTGGACAGACAGTCACACATTGCCCCACCCACAGGACCAGCACAGGGTCAAGAACAGGACCTGTTCCAAGACACCCTCCTGGCCCTGCAGCCTCTGTCCTGACCCCACAGGTCAGCTGCTAGACTTCAAGCAAGCCAGGCAGTCTCTGCTGCTCTGTGCCTGCATCTTCCCCTCAGTGTGCAGCATATGGTTAGCTATGTTAGAGCCATCGAAACAGAACTGATGCCAGGCACAATGTTAGATACCCATGACCCCAGCAACCCCAGAGGCCAAGGCAGGAGGATCATAAGTTCAGAAGCAGCCTCAGCAACTTAGGGAGACCCTAAGCAACTTAACAATACCCTGTCTCTGAATAAAACACAAAAGGGCTGGGGATGTGATTCAGTAGTTAAGCACTTCTGGGTCCAATCCCTGGTACCAAAACAAACAACAACAAATACAGGGGTTTTTTTTCCCAACATATACATTGAGTTTCACAAACAAAACAAAACAAAAAACAAAAAACAAACAAAAAAAAAAACACCACAAACCTGGTAATGAAGAAAGTTTTAGCAAATTCCAAAGGCCCATATCACTTGGCAAAATATTCTCTGACGATATTGTTGTTAAACTACAGATATCTGATAGAAAGACACACTCCCTTCCCAAAAAAGCACAGAGAAATGGAAACCAATGTAGGATCAGGTCCAAGGAAGGCGACTCAAAGAAAAAATGTATGTCCTTAAATACACCTGTTTTCACACAAGAGACACCAAAATAAATTATCTAAGCATCCAACAGAAAATCAGATACAAAATAATAAAGTAATTCAAGGAAAAAGGTGAAATAACGTAAAACACAATTTAAAGAAACAAAACAATCTCAACACTGGTTCTTTGAAAAAGTAAAAAAATACACAAATTCTGGGCTGGGATGTAGCTCAAGTGGTAGCGTGCTCGCCTGGCACGTACAGGGCGCTGGGTTCGATCCTCAGCACCCATAAAAATAAAATAAAGATGTTGTGTCCACTGAAAACTAAAAAATAAATATTAAAAAAATTCTCTCTCTCTCTCTTTCTCTTTAAAAAAAAAATACACAAATTCTGGCAAATTCAGTTAAGGGAAGAAAAAGTGATGGAAAAGAAAATACTCTGAAGGTTTTCAGGTAAAGGCGGTGGCCTTGTCCTCTGGACTGGGATGAACCGTACTCCTGGTGGAAGCCAGGAAGCCGAGCCTGAGCCATGGCCAGCACAGTGCTAGCAGCTGAACTGACCGTTGCTGTTATATAGGATTTGCGTTATGTTTTACAACCATGAAGCACATGGAGCCTCAAGTAAAACAAGTTTTTCCAAGTCTACCAAAATCTGCCTTTAGTGGTGGCTATTACAGAGGTGGGTTTGAAATAAAAAGGACAGAAAGGGAAGCAGCATTAATACTAGGTGTAAGCCCTACAGCCCATAAAGGAAAAAAGAAAAGAGGCTCATTGATAAATTATGTTTTTAAATCACCCAGATAAAGGAGGATCTCCTTATATAGCAGCCAAAATCAATGAAGCTAAAGATTTACTGGAAGGTCAAGCTAAAAAATGAAATAGATGTATGATGAATTTTATGCTCACATTAGTTTATGTATATGAGTACTGATTTTTTATGATAAAACTCCTCAGAGCTCCAATTTTTTTCAAAAATGACTTAGCACAAGCAAAAAAGAAAAAGCAAATACTATGGAGAATAAAGAAGACATAACGTGAGACGCCACCCATAATGTGGCCCAGGGCTTGGATCCCTCAGGAAAACTAAGATGACACAGGAGAGGCTGGGGCTATAGCTCAGCGGTGGAGCACTTGCCTCACACATCTGAGGCACCAGGTTTGATTCTCAGCACAACAAAAATAAATAAAGGGAAGATATGGTGTCCATCTTAAAAAAAAAAAAAGATGACACAAGAGAAACACGTGCAGGAGCCACCAGTGACAGGTCAGTGATGCTGCCTCTCCTGCTGGTCAGCATCCTGGCCAGTGCACCATGTCTCAGATGAAGGGCACACAAGCTCCAAACAGTGGAAGAGAAAAGACAGAACTGCCATTGTTTGAGAATGGTAAAGCCATCTACCTAGAAACCTCAAGAGTCTCAATCCACAGCATCCCCTTTACTCACTCTCTCTCTTTCACTCACCGGTGCTGGGGATGGAACCCAGGGCACTCTACTACCGACCAACATCTCCATCCCTCTTTCTTTTGAGACAGGGTCTCACTAAGTTGCTGAGCTGGCCTTGAACTTGCCAGCCGCCTTCCTCAGCCTCCATAGTTGCTGGGATTACAGATGTGCCCCACCATGCCCAGCCAATAGCGTCACCATATACAAGTCAAACATAATTAAGAGAACTCCTGTGTACTAGCAAGCAGCAACCAAAAGCTGACATTACAACAGCTACAAAACCACACAGTAACTAAAGTCTAACAAAAAAAAAATGTATTGCTGGGAGCAGTGGTACATACCCAGCTACTCAGAAATCTGAGGCAGGAGGATCACTTGGGCCCAGGAGCTTGAGACCAGTCTGGGCAACTTTGTAAGATCCTGTCCCCAAAAAACAACAACAAAAAAACTATACTAAATGAACAAAATAACAAAACTTTATTGAAAGATCTTAAAAAGACTTATAGAGAAACAAAAATTATAAACAGTAAATGACTCAATATAACAAAGATGTCAATTCTCCCTAAATTAATCTGTTCAGTGCAATTACAATAAAAATTTCAATAGGACATCGCCAGGCACAGTGGTGCATGCCTATAATGCCAGCAGCTCTGGAGGCTGAGATAGGAGGATTGTGAGTTCAAAGCCAGCCTCAGCAAAGGCGAGGCTCTAAGCAACTCAGTGAGACCCTGCCTCTAAATAAAATACAAAATAGGTCTGGGCATGTGGTTCAGTGGCTGAGTGTCCCTGAGTTCAATCCCTGGTACCAAAAAAAAAAAAAAAATTTTTTTTTCAATAGGACATATGAAGTGAGACCAAAATGTCTATAAGTATCACATGAAAGAATAATGATCAAGGCAATGTCAAAAAGAACCCAGGGAGTCGGAGGTTTGCCCTACTAGACACCAAGGTTTAGGTGATAGCACTAAGCATGAGGTGTAATTAGCAGGAAACAGAGTAGGAGAAGTCCATGCACGTGCTACAGTGGCCAGGGATGTGCTACTCAACAAGTGTGCTGGCACAACTGGCTTCCCACAAGAAGATAAAGTAGGTGTCTGCCTTCTATGATATCTGGATACATATTTCAGGCAGGTTGAAGATCAAAATGTTCTTTATAAAGTCTATGCAGGAAAAGATTGTACAATTTGACTCCATCAAAAAGAAAAAGTCTTGGGGGCTGGGGATGTGGCTCAAGCGGTAACACACTCACCTGGCATGCATGGGGCGCTGGGTTCGATCCTCAGCACCACATAAAAATAAAATAAAGATGTTGTGTCCACCGAAAAACTAAAAAATAAATATTAAAAAATTTCTTTCTCTAAAAAAAATCTTCTGCACAAGATACAAGAAAAATTTTAAAAAGACAAACTGCAGAGTGAAAAGACATTTGCAAACAAGGATAAATACACAGAATAGATTTTTAAAAATTTTAAAGGAACTCAATTTTTAAAAACGAGGCCTGGGGACATAGCTCACTGGCAAAGTGTTTGCCTAGCATGCCTGAGGCCCTGGGTTCAATATCCAGCACTGCCAAAACAAAATAAAACAAAAGTATTGCAGGGTAATCCCAGCAATTTGGGAGGCTAAGGCAGGAGGATAACAAGTTTGAGGCCAATCTCAGTTTAGTGAGACCCTGTCTCAAAAAAAGGGGGATTGAGGGATATAGTCTTGTGGTAGAGCACTGCTAGGTTCAATCCTAGTTCTGGGGGAGGGAATGACCATAGGATATGACTTGCTAAATCATAAATAAATCAAACTGTCCAATAAATGTCTGAAAAAGAATTTCAATGTCATTAAAAATCACAGAAGCAGGGCTGGAGATGTTGCTTAGTGTTAGAACTCATGCTTAGCTCTACAAAGCCAAACAAAATGAATTATAGAAACACAAAGTAAAATAAGATTTTTCTCCACATAGATAGGAAAATATAAAATACTTTGTGATAGCAAATGCTGAGGACATGAGAAGTGTTAACCAGTAGAGTTGCTCTGGAAATCTGTCTGATGCTACCTGGTACAGCCGAAATGCTGCAAACCTCTCAGGAAATCCAATTCTCAGGTATGTGCCCTATAAAAAATCCTGCTACTGCACTTAAGAATGTTACTATATGACTATGTATAAGAAAGAAATTTTGATGTCCCTCAGGGTAACAGGCAAGTTCAAAGCAGCTTAAAAGAACCAAACACATCAATGTCAAGGAGGAAGTACAAAGTTATAAGATTGAGTAAAGCTGTCAGACAGGGTTATCCATAGTATGATGGGTGTGTAGGGTTTTGTTTTTGTACCAGGGATTGAACCCAGGGGTGCTTAACCACTGAGCCACATCCTCAGCCCTTTTTATTTTTTCTTTTGAGACAGGGTCTCACTACGCTGAGTAGAGCCTTGCTAAATTGCTGAGGCTGGCTTGAATTTGGGATCCTCCTGCCTCGGCCTCAGGGTTTGCTGGGATTTCAGGCATGATCACTGCAACCACTGCATCCAACAGTATGAAGATTATTAAGAGATGAAAGACAACATTAGGTTTGTAGTGATATAAGAAAACGGGCTGAAGTATATTGATCAGAAAATGGGTGCCTCTGAAGAACAGTGGGACTACAGCACTGGGTCTAAACACAGTTTAACTCTTTTTTGGTAGAGCTCTACCACTGAGCTATATTCCCAGCCCTTTTTATTTTTTGAGACTATTTAATTCAGTTGCTGAGCTGGTCTCATACTTGCAATTCTCCTGCCTCAACCTTCTGAGTTGCTGGGGCTACAATTATGCACCACTGCACCTGGGTTACAATATTTTTTTCTTTTTTTAAAATAATTTTTTTAAAAATATTTATTTTTTAGTTATACTTGGACACAATACCTTTATTTCACTTATTTATTTTTATATGGTGCTAAGGATCGGACCCAGGGTCTTGCAAGTGCAAAGCGAGTGCTCTACTGCTGAGTCACAACCCCAAACCTCTTTCTTTTTAAACATTCTTAGTTGTAGATGGACACAATACCTTTATTTTATTTAAGTGGTGCTGAGGTTTGAACCCAGTGCCTCACATGTGCTTGGCAAGTGCTCTACCACTGAGCTACAGCCCCAGCCCACAATGTTTTCTTTAAAAAAAAAAAAAAAAAAAGCTTGAACAATTGTGGCACTATGAGAACTGGCAATTCAAAATACTGGTGTTTGTTCATCCATTCTGCATGCATGCTTTTATTTTAAAATTTGGGGAAAAACATATATTTAAAAGCACAAGACATGTGGGATGTGGTGTTGCATGCCTGAAATCCCAGCAGCTAGGGAGGCTGAGGCAGGAGGATTTTGAGTTCAAAGCCAGCCTCAGCAAAAGCAGTCACTAAGTAACTCAGTGAGACCCTGCCTCTAAGTACAAAATAGAGCTGGGGACGTGGCTTAGTGGCTGAAATGCCCCCGAGTTCAATCCCTGGTACCAAAAACAAACAAACAAAACACAAGACACCTGTAATCCCAGCACTCAAAAGGCTGTAGCAGGAGGATCTTAAGTTCAAGGGCAGCCGGGACACTTTGGTGAGAACCTGTCTCAAAGAGGCTGGGCAGCTGGGCTGGGTGTGTGGCTCAGTAGTGGAGCTTCTAGCCTAGAATGTGTGAGGCACTGGGTCTGATTCTCAGCACCGCATATTAAAAAAAATGGATAAAATAAAGCTCCATCAAAAACCAAAATAAAAATATTTTTTAAAAAAAGCTGGCATCACTGGTGATGTGGCTCAGTCCAGCTTGTATAAGGCCCTGGGGTGGGGTGAGAGGAAGCACAGACCATGGGAAAATTAAAAGATTTCGGATCTTTTGAAAAAATGAGAATCAATTTGGCTGGAGCCAGGCACGGTGGCGCGTGCCTGTAATCCCAACAGCTCAGGAGGCTGAGGCAGGAGGATCGCGAGTTCAAAGCCAGCCTCAGCAAAAAGCGAGGTGCTAAGCAACTCAGTGAGACCCTGTATCACAAAACAGGTCTGCAGTTCAGTGGTGGAGTGCCCCTGAGTTCAAACCCCGGTACCGGCTCCCCCGCCACCCCACCCCCCCAAAAAAAATTGGCCGATGAAAAGCCTTGAAGAGCCCAAAGAGAAAATAGGGCAGGGTGAAAAGAAGTTACATCCAATAAAATGAGGGGTTTGGGAAATGGCTCTAAAATGCAAAACGAGGGGCAGTACCTGTAAGGACCTGGGGGGGATGGGGAGGAGCATTTACAGAGGAGTAAGTCAAGCTCCTTGAAGGGCCTCGGATTACCAGGAGGAAGAGGGCCAAGACTATCCCAGGACACCAGCTGACCTGTGGGGTGACCTACAGAGAAGCCCTGGGGCGTGCATGGGCCCTGTAAGGAGGGACTCTCAAAGTGGAGTGGGGTGGGGGCAGAAGGAATGACCCCCAGGGTGGGGAGTATAGGGATGCGGGGTGAATACTGCAGGAGGGAGACTAGGTTTGGGGGGATCAGCACGGGGCCTTCCCGGGTCCCCGGGGCGGAGCACGCTCGCGAGTGAAAGGGCCTGTCCGGGTCCCCGGGGCAGGGCATGCTGTCAGTCGGGGAAGGGGCCTGTCCGGGTCCCCGGGACAGAAGTCGTGGTCGATGGTTGGGCTGACCCGTGCCCTGAAGGTCGCCAGCAGGGTCCGCGCACAGAGGGACAAGCACTCACCTCAGCATCGCGGGACCCTGCTCGGCGTCCAGCCAATTAGAGCGGAGCGGAAGTGACGCCACGCCGAGCCCTCCCCTGGCCGGACCCCAGGCACCGCCCCGCAGCCGGGGGAAGGACTCGCCGTTCAGCTGGTGGGTGCTGGGGAGCGGATCCGGCACCTCACGCGTGGCAGGCAAACGCCCGGCGCAGTAGTTCCTTTCTGATGAATTCTCCCTAGTGAGCAGTGAAAGCCGTCAGCGGGTCAAGTAACGGGAAGCACCCTTTTCTGAGACAGGAGATTGTTTACAGCCCCCAGCCTTGAACTTCTCTGTAAATGGGACCCAGTATCCCCTCCAATTAAAACAGGGGCTCTTGAGCACCACTGCTCTGGAGCAAGCACTCCCAGGTGGCGTGTCCCTCGGGCCAGACCTGAACCCACTTTGCCCGGGAGGGAGCAGAAAAGCCGCAGCAGCTTACGCTCAATCATAAACTGTGTGCTTTCTGTCACTCTTCAAGATACCCCTAACCTCCCCTGCGCCCCAGTCCTTCAGTGAACACCTCTCTGTGAGCCAGAACCCTAGGATCCCCATTGTGAATGAGTTTCAGGACCAGATCCCCAAACTGCCAGGGTATTGCCTAGGTGGCCCAGGATAGGGGAGGATCACATTAGAAATGGATGCGGACCACCGGAACAAGGAGCCATCTGGCAGGCACAGTAAGGTCTTGTCATTTAAGGACCCTGCTTACAGCCATAACCCTTCAAAGACTGTGCTGGGATGGAGTTACCATCTAGGGAATTTGGAGGTAGGACTCCTCCACCCACTCCAGTCCTGCACAAGTAGGTTCAGCATAAAAGGATCAACTAGCTCCCACTTGGCGCTGTTCAGCATGTCACTGTTGCATGGGCAAATGGGAAGGTCATTTGTTTTGGTGAAAACTAGGTTAGCTTCTTACAACCTGTGGCTCCTCAGGAGCTCCTTCTCCGTAACAGAGGGAAAACATCAGGCTTTATCTACAATTAATATATGCAAGTTTGGGGCCTTTTCCCCGTCTTTGCACCAGAGCAGTTAGGGCCAGAAGCCAACTCCTTGTGTCCAGTCTAGGGTTCTAGGCAGTTGGACAGGCTCTAAAGTAGATTGGGAAACACTTCAAACACCCACAACAGCTCAAAAAAGGGTCAGCAGTTTTGTCACGTATAAACCTGGGATCAAGAACACCAGCCCCAGGCTGGGGTTGTAGCTCAGTTGGTAAACTGGAGGGCAGGAGGTCCGGCCAAGAGGTAAAGAAATTTATAACCCTGCATTCTTCCAATGACCACTCCCCACCCATCCTACTTGTGCAGGGGGATGCCTGCTCTTGTTAACCTGCACAAGGATGGTTAGACCAACTCAGATCCACGCCAACTCTGATAAGGGAGCCATTAGGTTGGAACCCACAAGGAAAAGCTTCACAAGAACATTCAGAGAACAGGAATGTACCACCATTTGAAGGGGAACATGTTGCTGAATTCTAGAGAACAGGGCTTCTTCCAGGAACTGGGAAAACCAGCGGTGAACCTAGTATGCACACCTACTATAAGTCCATCAAGACACTGAGGGTAAGGTCCACAGCACTAGGCTCAGAATTTGGTTCTAACCTGTTTCCTCATTTGTAAAATGGAGTCTTAGCACCACAGGCTGACTACTGAGTCACCCACCCTAGAATGTCATGATCTTGATTCCCTCCTTTTGGATCAAACTCCTGGCCCCGGACACCTGTACCTCCTCTCCAGCCATGAAGCTCCCATGTCTCTCACTAGTGGTCTCATAGGTAAAAGTTTCTTCCTCTTCACTGTATCAAGGGGATCCATGGCAGGGACCCCTCCCTCTGAAACCACATGCACACAGCCCAACAGCAAAAGGACAAACTTTATTGAGCCCATCAGGCCTAGTTCTCTTTTTCCTGCACGGTCTTGGTTCCACGGAGTCGCCCAGTCCGGCGGGCAGCAATGAGACCCACTTTGCGGCCAGCAGGAGCATCTCGGCGGATGGTGGAGGGTTTGCCAATATGCTGGTGGTTACCTCCTCCAAAGGGATGTTCCACAGGCTGCAGGTAGAGGGAAATGGTGTAAGAGTAGTGGTGACCCCACTGCAGAAGGGTTGGGGCAAGATCAAGAATGCTGTGGCTACAACCTACCACTCAGTGCTTCCCCCACTGAAGACTCATTCCCCTGCCACAGGAGTTAGGAAACACCTCTAGAAGGGATTTGCTAACCCACCTGCATGGTTATGCACCTTGAATACCCTACAAACTGATTGCTGGGCTACTTACATTCATGGCCACACCCCGTACACGAGGCCAGCAGTTCCTCTTTGCCTTATACTTGTGGTAGGCACGACCAGCTTTCAAGATAGGTTTGTCAATTCGGCCACCTCCAGCCACCACACCTGTTGGAGAGATCAGAATCCTCAGAGAACCTCCTCACCACTGGGTCCTTGACAGTGAACCCTTCCCAATGCAAACCACTCAGTACTGTCATATGCATCACTCAAGAGCCACCATACTTTTACAGCCACCACACTGAGCCCACCAGCCTCCACCCTAGTGAGCCAAATTCGAGTTCCTAAGAGAGCACTCCCACTTCACTGTATCTGAAACACAAGATAGGTCACCCAACCTCTGAATTCCCCCAAGGCAACTAACTGACCAAGTGCACTGCACCAGAGCTCTGCCAAACAAAGAACCTGGGAACCAAATCCTTTCTCTCCCTCTCAATAGTAGATGCCTTTAAGGAAATCCTCGTATATGATCCTGTTTTCTCTGAAGAAACAAGTGAATTAACTAAATGATGTAATATCAGAAATCAGGAAGCCTGATTCATACACACACACAAAGGTCGAGAACCATCTGGTTCAATCTCAATCTGCTCCAAACCTGTAGGGAAGTAGGTACCACCATCCTGCTCTTTACAGCAATGAAGATTCCAATCATTTCAAACTCAAACTTAAGCCCAAGGCTAACAGGTGGCAGTTCATAGGCAGCTCACAGCCTGAGCACCCACTTCTGCATTCAACCGCTGCCAGGCACTCACCGACAACAGCTCTGTTGGCCGAGGAAATGACCTTTTTGGAGCCAGAGGGCAGCTTCACACGAGTCTTCTTGGTCTCAGGATTGTGAGAGATGACCGTGGCATAGTTACCGGAGGCTCGGGCCAGCTTGCCCCGGTCCCCAGGCTTCTCCTCCAGGCAACACACAATCGTACCCTCAGGCATGGTTCCCACAGGGAGAACATTGCCAATATTGAGCTGGGCTGCCAGGAGAAGCGGAACCAGGGTCAGTACAGCCAGAGACAATGCAAAGCCAGGCTTCTTGGAAACGCCCAAAGCGTAGAGCACCTTCAACATCTGGGCTCCCACCTTTCCAGACACCCCGTGGAATACCGTATCCAGGCGGGCCTCGCGGGAGGCTTCTGGCGCGGGCGATCCAGAGGTAGCCCCCACCTCCCCTCCGCCCCAACTTTCCTTCCCGCCGCTGGGCTCACCCTTCTTTCCGCAGTACACGAACTGGCCTGTGTGGATGCCCTCGGCGGCGATAAACAGCTCCGTCCGCTTTTTAAACCGGTATGGATCCCGGAAGACGACCTTGGCGAGGGGCGCGCCGCGGCCCGGGTCGTGGATAATGTCCTGCGTGCCGAGGTGAGGTGAGCGCGGGTCTCGGCGGACGCCCCGTCTCCCCCACCCACCGGGCAGACGCCCCCACCTTCACGATGCCTTTGATGTAGCCGTGTCGCTCTGCGAAGTCCACTGCGCGCAAACGTGCGGCGCCCTTGCGGTGTTTCACGTGCGCGCGGAACACGGAGCCGGCACCCTTTCTCTGTCCACGGATCACTCGGCCCATGACGGCTGGTCTAGGGGGGAATCAGGTCAGCAGGCGCTGGCCCCGCGTCCCGCCCCATCCCAGCCTCCCGTGTTCTCATCCCTGGTCGCGCGCGCCTGCGCCTTCTCAGAACAGTCTCCCAGGTACCACGGCGGGCCCCAACGCGGAGGATGGCGGCGGATGGTCCCAAGCCCTCAGCACCTCAGACAGACCTACCTGCTACGGAGCGCGGCCAAAAGAGGAAATGCGGCACCCGCGAGTCGCCTTATCTTCCGGGGCGGGGCCAGAGCAGTGCCCTCTTCCGGGCGCAGAGCACGCCGGGATGTGTAGTCGCCCTAGCGCGCCCCCGCTGAGCCTCCGCGCAAGCGCACAGGGGAGTGGGCTGCGGCCTGGCCCACGCCGGCGTCTGGGGGCGGGGTGGAGGTCGCGCTTGGCACTGAGTGGGCTCTAGGATACGTGGAGGAGTTTGTCTAGGGCCACACGTAACGACAAGCCGCGGGGCAGGCGCTCTGCGCCCGACCGAAGAGGGCTCCCGCTGATGCAGGGCGCCGGGTCGCCGAGTAGTGAAGGCTCTGCCTTGGGGACCTGGTGCTTAGGGACCGAGAAAACGGGGTTTGACCAGCCGGTAGCGAATGCCCGCCGCCCGCTAGCACGGGCGCTGCTGGCCGCGGGGACTTGGGCCCAGCCGGATCCTTGAGGCAACGGGAGAGGAGCCGGGGGACCCTGGCCCTGCCCGGAGGGAGCTAGAGGGCGGCTGTGGGCGTCGACGCGAGCCGCGGGCCTCGGGGACAGAATGTACTCCAAGCCCCGCCGGAGATGAGGATCAGGCTGTGGGCAGGAGTCCCAGGGTGTGGAGGGGGCAAAGTGGCACGGGGTGGGGAGAGTGGGGAAGGGAAGGTGGACCAGAAGGAGAGAGAAACGAGGCAGGGCACAGCAGAGGGGTATCCAGTAGGGTGCAAGCTGTGGTGAGAGGGGAGTCCTCAAGTAGCCCTCCCCCACGAATGAGTAGTGTCTGCAGAGGAAGCCATGATGGGGAGGCCAGCGAGGGAGGGAAGGAAGTGAGGGCAGCAGTCCCGGTGTGTGGGACAGGGTTGTAATCAGGACTGGGGTGGAATGGAGGCACGAGAATGGCTGAGGGAGGAGTGCCATGTGGCCACCTGCTGAAGTTAGGGGAGTCTAGAGACCTGTGCAAGAGACCCTCCAAAGAGACAGCTGAGCTGGGGTTGACAGGGGTGAAG